TCTGGGACGCTCTTCAATGGTTTTAACTTCAAAAGTCACATTTTGCCATGTATCCGTCAAGTGCTCGGGAACCTCCTCCCAACCTGATCCTCGTTCTCCAGCATGAGTCAGAGTGCCGGGGTGTTGTTGTTTTACTTTCTTATTTTAGTTGTCAGGTTGGAGATCACCGGTACTTCAATCGGTTTTGGTTTTGTTGAGTACTTTACATTTTTGCTGTGTTTAAAATAAATTTTTGCATCTCTGTCTGGCGTCCGTTTATGCATCCGGTCTCCGGTTGGAGCCTGTAGTTTTGTTAGGGAGGCCGTAACAGCCACGGTTCACTAAGGACCAAAATCTGATGATTTATGACTAATAACCTCATGAATTATTCCAAATTATTACATCATCGCATCAGCCGCAATATAAAGAGCAATAATCTGCTTTACGACATCAGTAGAAGTTTGCTAGTTTGAGAGTCTGTGCCAAAGCTTCATGTTCTGAGGCTCCTGATTAAAAGGTTAAAAAAAAAAACTGCAATGCTAATGGGCAGAGAGAGGCAGACTGGGGACACAGTGGTCTCTGTAATAAATAAAATGCAGTCCAACAATCAGACGGTGAGTTTTGAGAAGTTGCTGTATCAGTGCCAGCAGCCCGGCCCGCTCTGTTCTCCTGCTGCGTCTCATTATCTGAGCTGTGGAGCTCATTTCCTCAGGAGAACGCAGTGTAACGGCGCTGAGAACAGCTCCCACCTCCTCCTGAAGAAAATCCAGGGAGAGGAGCATGACTCACACACACACACACACACACACACTCACACACACACACACACACACACACACACACACACACACACACACACACACACACACACAGTCCCTGCTATCCAATGCACTCAGACTGAAGAATAAAAATAGCTATCTGCAACCTAACCTTAATGTGTTCTTAATGCCAGTTCAGATGCAAATTCAAGTGCAATTTTCAAGCCAGCGCTGAGCCTGAAAAGTTAAAATGCTCCAGTGAAACAAAAATGGTGGAGAAACAGCCAGCAGTGAAACACCGAGCTCCAACATTTGTAAAACGTTGCGTCTGAGATTAAACAAATTAAGACAGAAGAGGTTTTCTGTGTCAGCATGAAGGAGTGCTTGAGTCTGAGTCATGTTACTAAATGATGAACTGATCCCAGGTTTTAGTTTTCATTGTGACGTCACCACTTTTACGCCGGGAACCCACTGTGTTGCGTTGTATGATCTGGTACGAGTACACTGGCTGCGTGTCTGCTGCGTCGCTGCAACCAGCTAAGATCTTATATTTCTACACAGTTTGCAAGCTACTTGAATGTTGGATTTCTTTTAATTATAAATTAATTTCTGATTTATTTTTGGCAGAAAACATCACTAAAATTCTATTTTCTAAAAATCGTTTAGAAAACCCGGAGGTCGGGGACATGACCGATACCGGATCGATGAGGCCAATACTAACAGATAATTGGAAGTTTAAAAATGTATTAATGATATGACACAGTTTAGATAAAGACTGAACATTATAACCTTCATGAAGGAAGATTTATTACAGGACTGTTGTATTACACTGCATCAGTTTTAGTGTGAACATAATAAACTGGCAGCTGAACATACAACACAATGTCTGCAACAATCCTGCAGAGCCATGACCGTGGAGACGGGAACACTGACAGATCGTTGGGCCTTTAGTCAATTCTAGTTTATTCTATGACGAGTTTTGGACTTCAGCGTCTCGACAATGTTCCTAATCTTCAGAGCGGCTCGACAGTGTTAGGTCACCTGATGTGTTCGATGGTGTTTTACTATGATTGATCAGTTTCCTGCAGGATTCGTTTGCTCTCGTTTCCAGTTCCAGACTTCAGCCTGACTTAAGAGCTGAATGGCTGCCACTGCGCTCTCAGCAGTTTGACATGTTGGTTTCATGGTGTTCTGCACCAAATCCCACCACCCATCCCCCCTTTTTTTGTTGTAATGTGTTCACCCTCCTGGCACAACATGACACACTGTGCCGGCAGCGATTGGCCATTCAGATCTGCCTGTTTTCTCAGCCGTGCAGAGGAACCACAATTATTAATGGGACAAAGTCACGCATCTTGTAGATGACGGCATCTGAAAGTCGTCTCAGAAACAAAAACAACAGAACAGCTGAGACTCACAGTCACACATTGCTCACATGAATCAAATTAATGTATTTACATCAAGTTAATGAGAAAAAAAAGAGTTGATTCCACTAAATTCCCGAATGATAATTTACAGCGTATAAGATCATGAAGAGCTGATGATTAAAAAACATTATCATATGATTTCATCTCAGCATTTCAAGCATCAACATGTCGTGTGGGGACATGTCAGGGCGTGATGATGATGATGATGATGATGATGATGGTTTACTGTATAATCACTGCATCAACATTCATGAGTCTTCATCACTTCACACTTCATCTCCCTCCGGAGACACTAAAAGCTTTTCACTACTCTCTCGCAGATGCAGTGACACTCCCCAACATCTGGAGACGCGGGCTCAGGCGGGAGTTTCCCTTTAAATCTAAATCTGAGGCATGAATGCGGTTTTAAGGATGTAGAGGGCGCGCCTCAACTGTCCATTAGACACCTGCCACAGTGATTGGCTGGTGAGGATCTGCTGTCAGTCAGGCTGAGTCTCTCCTTTAGTGTCTCGTCACAGTGACTTGTAACGTCCTCTGGACCTGACAGAACCAATAACGCCGCTGACGTCGGAGGATGTAATCATCGCTCTAGCTGCGGGAATGATGATGGAGCTTCTGACAGCGGAGGCTACGACAGGTGGAGGAGGTTGTTTTGTAAAGGTATCTGAAGGATGCTGACGAGGCTGAGCGTTGTGATTGGTTCCTTGATGAGCTGGTCGCTTGATAAGGATGGTTAACAATATGGAGGACAATTAATGCCAAAAATTAAATATTTTTAAAGTAACTACACAAAGATAGTTAAGTTTTCCGTAAATCAGTGACTAGATATAATAAATGAATATGTCTATAAAATGTTATACTTGATACTTTTCCACTATTTTATGTTTCGAATATCTTCAACTTCCTATTATTGAAAGAGTTATCTTTCATTAAACAGAGATCATTACTTTACAAAGTCAGGAGAAAATCATAAGAGATTTATTCATGCTTTGATTCATGGAGCTACCAGAGATTTTTAATGCATTTAGTGCATTATTCATTAAGGTTATTAGTCGGTTATTGGAATAAAAGTCTTGTTAAATTCATCAAAACTTTATTAGTTATCTCCTGACTGACTGAACTGGACTCACGCTGACAATAACTGGTAATCTGTGATTCTTAAACCACTTTTATTCATTAAAGGAAACAGTGAGAGACGATTATATGATGACGACCTGAACACATGAAGACCCGAGTCTCTGAAACAACCTCCAAAAACCTGAGGGCTTTCTGAAAGAACTTGACGTTCTCTAAAAACCTTTATTCCTCAGCCACTGAATCACAGAGAAACATGAAATAAAAAACATCTGAGACCTTAAACCTCTGACTTTTATTGTAAATCACTGCCTTTACCTTTAAAACCGGATATGGCTGGAAAAACGAGCACATTTGTCAACAGTCTTGGTTTGGTTTATTGATTTCTTTTTAAATGTAGATGAACATTAGGGTAAATGCAATGATTTATAATAAAAACCAACTGTTTCAGGTCTCAAATGTTTTTTTATTTCCTGGTTTATCTGCTGCAGAAAATGAAAAATAAAGGTTTTAGTGACAGCGCTGCATCAGGTGAATCTTTACCTCTAGCTAGCGGTGATACTGGCTCCTCCTCCTCCTCCTGCTCCTCCTCCTCTGACATGTCTCTCACCCTGAGCCTTAACTAGCTGGTTAGCCTGTTAGCAGCAAATCAGTATTTGAATCTCCTAAGCCAGTTTTGTTGTTCTCATCCAGGGAACTGTGGTGCTCAGCTTCGGTATCGCTCCCCTCAGGTCATCAGACACTGTCCAAACCGTGACTTTAAAAAGCTTTTTTGCCCCGAAAAACAAACAAAATATGTTTCCCATGATGGATTTCACCTTCCTGACCTGAATTTCAGCAAATCACAATGAACTTCATCAGTCACGTTTCTTAAAAACGACATAATCATTCACTACACGTGTACAATTCACTTCGGTCTTAATGGGTTAAACTGAGAACTGGTGGAGACCAAACACGGAGCCAAAAGAGCGGGAACACTGGGCCGAGGTTTCATCAGCTGACACAAACATGACTCCACATGTTGATCTGTGACCCGTGGACGTGGAAATAAGCAGCTGTTTGTCAACAAGTTCAACATTTCAACTCCAAAGTTCCTCAAGTGGCCTAAACACTGAGTGAGTGTGTGGATGATGCTGTAAACGCTTTTCACAGTATAAAGTTAATTAAAAACTTTTATCTCAAAGCCTGAGCCTCCATCTGCTATTCATTTAACATTTAGCAACATTTGTTGTTGTTTCTTTTGTTACTTGACGTTGCAGTTTGTTGCGTGATCTCCTCCAACACCAAAACAGCAACTGTATGTTTTTCTGCAACAAGAGGGAATTTTATTTTTTCTATCCAGTAAATCCCAGCGACTAAAAGTGAAGACATCCTGCCAGAAACTGCAAATACAGGTTGTTTCTTTGTGTTTGAGAGTAAAACTATACAGTCTCTAAATCCCCCATGTTTCTAACCTCAGTGACCGGCTTGTGTTTGTGCCGCGGCTGAGCAGTGATTTACTTTTGCCACAAGGTGATGCCAGTTAATCTGATTAGAAATCAGCGTGATGGAGTGAACCTCTTGACTGCAGGCTGATACGATTAGATGTGAGACAGCTGCGCCTTTTTCCCCCGACTAACAGGCCGCTGTGTCACATCAGCCTCAGCATACCAGAAGTTTATTACAATATAAAACACATTAGTTCCTTTATCAGTATTAGTCGGAGTGGCTCGGCTAGATTTCAGTGATTTGTCACCGTCGGGGAAGGACGGCCGCTTCCTACCTGATGAAGTCTCCCTCCAGGCCGATGACCCGCTTGATGATCTTCTGCTGGGGGTTCCTGGGGGACCTGAGGAGCAATAAACACATATATATGGCAATAAGCATTAAAAAGCCAAACAGGAAAACACAAGCGAATAAAAATCATACAAGCGTGATGTAGTGAGCTGTGGATAAGAAAGCCAGAGTCTGACTGTGCATTCAAATTAAGTCTAAGGCCCCAGTCACTCGTCATTCATTTCCTCCCATCGGTCCCTGATGGTATCATGTATGACGTTTTAACACGTGCCTTAAAAACCACAGATCAGGCAGCGGTGAGCTTCTCCGGTCTCCGGTGTGTGATGGAGCTCTGACAGGAATCAATCACAACCTCTTTCATCTGTGATTCACCGCCTTACTCAACCGACTGCAACACTAAAAGCTGAAGTATCATTAAAACTGTCATTAAAGCTCCATGTTTTCTTCTTCTTCTGTGTTTTATTTTGAAGTGTTGATCCATAAGAAGATATATTTGTGGTTTCATCTCAGTGTAGTTTTACATCTCCTCTCTCAGGCTTCTCTCTGGAGCTCTAGTAACAACAGGTCGGTGAGCCAATCAGAAGAGAGGAGGCTCTGAGCCTCTCTTCTGATTGGCTGACTGTTTTTTGAGTGATCCAATAAAAATATATCAGATTTCAGGTAAAAACACTCAGAGAAACCAAATCCTGTAAAGGTTTGGATGGTGGGTCCAGGTGGGCGGGGCTTGGTGACTGCTTTGTTGTGACATCACAAAGTTCCAGAAGTCCTGACGGCTGGTTTTAAGGCTCAGTTTCTGAATACAGGCTGTGTGCATTTCTCTGTGGACTGAGGCTTTGATACTTTCACAGTATTAATATAGAAGCTAGAGCTGATCTATAATCACACTACACATGGACAGAGACCTTTACACTGGAGGGAGCTTTAAGAAACAACGGCGCTCGTTCACTCGATGCTGGACAGCCACATGTTGAATGATTAAAAACTCGTCTCGAGTCTGAGAAGTTTTTCCAAACTCTGCTGATCAATTCTTCTGAGAGTCTTTCTGTGCTCTTGAAAAAATGTGGTTGGTAATATGTAAATTATTCATTTGCTGCATTTTGCTTTACAAAACACAAATCTGTAGGGAAAGTGTAGCTGCAGGAAATAGAGGGTGCCCAAGGTTCAGCTGCAGCTACACATTCAGGTGGATGAGGTATATTATTTTTCATTTTCTACATTGATGCATCGTCTCATGATTTTATTATGTTTAATGAGCATGAACAGCTCCTATAATATTACCTTTAGTGTCCTGTAGTATTTTGTTTGTTGACTCACATTCAGAAATACTAAAGTACATTTATTAACCATGCTAATTAGGCTATAATCATTCTGCTTTTTATAATCACTCTTCTGGCCAACTTAACATCTTATTTCCAAGAATTCAGTCCTGTGTGTTTTGTGTTGAAGTGAATTGAATGAAATGAGTCAAGCTCACGGGGGGTTCAGTGACGTTAACTCGTGCATCCTTTTCTTACTGTTTGACAACCAAGACGTTTAACGCTGTATTTACATCCTGTTAGTGGGTGGTGCTGCCATGAGGCTTAGCGCTAATGAAATCTCCCATACACCTAAAACAAATAATGCTGGCAGCACTACCTGTGCTGTGACACTAGGGACTGTGTCCAGATATTTTGACGAGAGACAACACCTCACTGCCAAGAACATGGAGCTCATATTCATCAGTGTGCGAGGACGGTGCAGCTCTGGTGAATGGAGGACGGTCATGAGCACATGTGGACGACCACAGAGCTGGTCCACAGAACCTTTGTCGCTCCTTCTCCTCCTCCCTGTCAAGCGTCCTTCTTCTCATAATCAGGCTGAATTGCTTTTTCATTTTCAATCATCATTCACTCTGACATCGTGCTTGTGTGAGCTGTTGGCTGTTGGGAGCTATTTCGCCCGAATCAATCAGCAGCGTCTGACGTGTCGGTCCCATCGTTTTCATAACAAATGAGCAAATACGTTTTTAAGAGTTTCTATTTCTCTCAGTCGACAATCACTGCAGCGTCTCGGCCACATTTGATGCCATTTTTGTTTGGTCACAGGCAGCGGAAGACCCAACATACAAAACTCTGATTGGTCCAGCTGTCATTAAGCACCACACCTGTTTGAGATGTGGGTGGAGATTCAGAGGTCAGGAGCGAGGCTGCAAAGAAGACCCTCCTGAGGTTTGACCGCAGACTGTAAATAAAGATGGACGTCGCCTCTGTGACGTCACCCACAGGTTTCTGAAGCTCAGAGTGAGCCGCTCCACCGTCGCCATCTTGGCAGTGCCTGACTCCGCCCCCTAACTCCCAGCTAATCCAAAAATGGACAAAGAGGTGGAGTGTGTGTGGAGCATGCCGGTTTGTGGCCACCTGTCACTCAAAGAGGCCACGCCCTCAATCCTCCATGTAAACAGGTGAGTTCTATAAACAGGTGTCATGAAGGAGGAAACTAGTTTTTGTACCAGGCTGTAAACATGTTTATTTCTGCTGTAAAGTTGGACATTTTAACATGGGAGTCTATGGGGACTGACTCACTGTTGGAGCCAGACTCTAGTGGTCGTTAGAGGAACTGCAGCAGTTTGGGTCAGGATCATGTTTGGATCCTGTCTACTTCTAATCTAGCCCTCAGTTTGGTGCAGGTCTCAGGATCCACGTAGACCTGAACCTTCAGCCTCTCAGGGAAGATCTCTTCCTCCACAGACAAGGCTTCATCTTTCTCCTCCTCTTCTACCTGTTCCCTCTCTTCCTCCTTCTCTTCCTCCTACTCCTTTTCCTCTTCCTCCAATTTCTCCTTCTCCTTTTCTTTCTCCTGCTCCCGACCACCTCCACCTCTTCGTTGCCGTGGGGATACAGGGTATCATGACTGACTGACAGTTTGCTGAGCCAATTGGATTCACCCACAGCCACAGAGCTGAGCACTCATTGGCCGGTCTCTGGGGAGCTAGAATGTACCAATGTGTGTATTAGTGTGTGTGTGCGTGTGCGTGTGCGTGTGTGTGTGTGTGTGTGTGTGTGTAATAGAGTGATGGATGATCTCTCCAAAAGCAGAGGAGAGGAAGGATGGAGGAATGACAAACATAACCTCTTATTCACGCTCAGTGTCTCTCACCCCTCTCTCCATTTAATACCCAATCTCTCTCTCTCTCTCTCTCTCACTCTCAGCCTCTCTCTCTCGCCCTCTCTCTCTCGCTCTCCATCAGTATCTCTCGCTCCCCCCTCCCTCTCTCTCTCTCTCTCTCTACATCTCTCTGTCGCTGTGGAGAGGAAAAGAGAGAAGACGTTCGTTCTTGGAGATACTCAAGGAAAACAGGAAAATAGCTGCTGCTGCTGGATGTTAACACGCAGCGCTGCATGCCTTAAATAAAACACACACACACACACTTCCACACACACACACACACACACACACACACTCCGTGCTGCTGCAGCCATGCCAGGAATACCTGCTGAATATCTGCTGCTGCATGGGACGTGATGGATACCACTTCTGCTGGTGAGTGTTTATCGCTATATGACTGTGTGTGTGTGTGTGTGTGTGTGTGTGTGTGTGTGTGTGTGTGTGTGTGTGTTGGGAGGACTGCGGTAGTCCTTGAGAGCTGTGGCGGCTCAGCCTGCGGTTCTGACAGCTGAGGGGAATAAGAAAACAGGGCTGGGGATTTATTTTATTTGTCGCAGGTTTTAAAACGCGCTGCAGACGATCCTCCGCCGCCGCCGCTTCCTCAGTGTTTTTACTGTTTCTCCTGTTTCCTGCTTCGGAGCGAAGGAACTGCGTCGGCTGAGCGGAGTCTCGTCAGTGTCACTCCACAGGTTCATCCCCTGAAGTCAGAGCAAGGCAGGAGGATGTGCAACAAGGCTGGAAGAAGCAGGGTTTGTTTTTGGATGGAGGGAGGGAGGGAGGTGGGGGTGAGGGTGAAGGGGGGGGGGTTGTTCTTGTCTTTATCAGGCAGGTCAAAGTGACGAGAGGCAGGAAAAGATTCAGGGACGGCATGCGACAAGAGGTCCTGAATCCCCCCCCCCCCACCTCGGGGAAACTGAGCCATCAGGAAGCTTCCGGAGCGCTAACGAGGTGAAAGCTTCGTCAGCTCCAGTTAAGCCGGAGCCGGCGTGGACGGACGGCGTATGCTGGTGTGTGATGTGGCAACATGAGTCAGGAGAGAGAGAGAGAGAGAGAGAGAGAGAGAGAGAGATTTGGACGGTGCAGTCGGAGTCAGGGTTGAGCTGTGCAGGTCACAGGATTGGCTGCAGGGCGATCTTCTCTTAACTGGAGGGAAGATGTTCCCACCACTGCTCGCCTAATTACCCAGAACCCCCCCCCTCTCCCTCCCTCCTGCTGTATTTAAGCCTCTGTGGTAATTAACAGCGGTGCACTAAAGGCGTCCTCAAGTGCGCAGATTGAAATTCGGCACATTTTCCAACCCCCGGCTAAACGGGGGTCAAGTGAGCGGGGTCAAAGCCTCCTGACGCTCGGCTCTCTTGTGTCAACATGCGGCGGCGTCGACCGGCTGTGGACACTTTAAAGACGCAGCCCTCGCCTGAGCTCCACAAGTAAATACGTCAGTGTTCATCCTTTCACGTCCGTCACGCGGCTCCTCAGAGGACTCGCAGCACGCCGCTCTGATCACACTGCAGCAGCTAAACAACCACATGATTCCCGTTTAACCGACAGCAGCTGGAGGATTCCTCCAGTGTGACTTCAGCAGACTAGTTGATGATGACAGGAGGACATTTTTTCTGTATCTGGGGGCGAATCATGTGAGAGACGATGCCACAGACGGGACAAACCGCTCACACCTGCTCCTCAAACGTTAGCTTGAGTTAAAGCCGCAGCTCGGTCAAAGTCATTTCTAAGCCTGGACAGGAAAACTTGTAGCTGCTGCTTCTGCTGCTCGACGTGTGACAGACTAAACTTAATAAAGTTCCCACAACATTAAAGGACCAGTCACACGTGGGTCGTGTGTCCAGCAGGTTATTATGACCCACAGTTTCATTTCCTTTAGTTAATAACATGAATTAACAGCAGCATATT